AAAAAAAAAAAGAAAAAAAAAAAAGAGGAAGGCCATGCAGAGAACTGTCAGCTGCTCAGGATGTGAAGGCAAAAGGAATGAAGACAAGGAAGCAGTGGGCACGTTGGCCAACTGCCCTGCCTACTACAGTGTGTCTGCTCCCAATGCCGAGCTGCTGAACAAAATCAAAGAGATGCCAGCAGAAGTGAATGAGGAATAGGAACAAGTGGATGTCAATGAAAAGAAGGCTGAGCTCATTGGAAACCTCACCCACAAGCTGGAGACCCTCCAGGAGGTGAAGGGGAGCCTGCTCATGGACATCAAGCTCAACAACGCCCTGGGAGAAGAGGTGGAGACTCTGATCAGCGAGCTCTGCAAGCCCAATGAGTTTGACAAGTACAGGGTGATCACAGGGGACTTAGACAAGGTGGTCAACCTGCTGCTCTCTCTCTCAGGGCGTCCAGCCCATGTCGAGAACGTCCTTAGTGGGCTTGGTGAAGATGCCAGTAATGAAGAAAGGAGCTCTCTCTATGAGAAAAGGAAGATCCTGGCTGGGCAGCACGAGGACGCCCAGGAGCTGAAGGAGAACCTGGATCGCAGGGAGCAGTTGGTGCTGGGCATCCTGGCCAATTACCTTTTGGAGGAGCAGCTCCAGGACTACCAGCACTTCATGAAAATGAAGTCCACCCTCCTCATCGAGCAGCGGAAGCTGGACAACAAGATCAAGCTGGGCCAGGAGCAGGTCAAGTGTCTGCTGGAGAGCCTGCCCTCAGATTTCCTTCCCAAGGCCGGGGCCCTTGCTCTGTCCCCAGAGCCCACAAGTAAGCCTACTCCTACCAGGGGCTGTACTTTCAGTGGTATTTTCCCAATATTAACCTCTCCACTTTAATAACCTCTTCTAAAATACCCAACCAAAAGATGACTGTTTCTATCAACACTATTTAATCTGAAAAATGTTTCAGTACAAAGCACTGTTTGAACTATCTGGGTTATTGGTGTTTGTTCTGGATGAAAGGAAAAAAATTCTCTCCAGGAGGAAGCCTGTTTTTTCCTTCTTGCCCTTCCTGATTGATCTTCTGAGAGCTCGAATGCTGCTGGACACATACCCCTTTCTACTATTACTTTGTAGTAGAAAGAAAGTTAATGAAACAGAACTGATTGGAGGGTGTTTGATCATTTAGTTTTTAACAGGCTGAGGCAACATGGATCCTTGCATGTCCCCCTCAGGAATGTATCCACAGTGGCCTTCCTTGCTGGTGGGCAATGTATCCTGATGGCAGGGTACAAGTACCATCAATGAAGCGTCTGCAACATAAAGCCTTAAAAAGACACACACTAAGAAGAAATTGTAAAACCTTGAACATTGTTATTTATATTTTTTAAAATGGAAAAGATCATTACGATGGTTGTGCTTATTTGATTCTGTTTTGTGGTGGACGTAGATAATTATATTTGAGCTTTGTGTTTTGTGAAAACCTTAATGAAATGAATTCCAAAGTTAAAAAAAAAAATACAAAAATTAGCCAGGCGTGTTGGCAGGTGCCTGTAGTCCCAGCTACTCTGGAGACCGAGGCAGAAGAATCACTTGAACCCAGGAAGTAGAGGTTGTAGTGAGCTAAGATTGAGCCATTGCACTTCAGCCCAGGCTACATGAGCAAAACTCTACTTCAAAAAAAAAACAAACTGTGATGTCTGTGACACTTGTGGGTCTGTTTGCAGTTTGTATTATGATCTGTCTAAGTTACACATCCTTTCATTTGATGCTACCATACATTTTTATAATTGGAGTAGCAACTTATTGCAAATATGTTGTAGGAGGGATTGGGCATTTATTTGGATTGATAATCTTCAGAGCCCAAATCCAAGCAACAGTCACATGCCCCCACTATTTTATTCTGCTGTGTAGAAATGACATGAATACACCCTTGATTAGTATTTTTAGCAAGCAAGAATTTTACCAAGTTAATATGTTTATAATGAATACATGCCCTCCATAAGACAAACATTATTTATTGTACTACAGTGGAATATTTGAGTAAAAGAAAATAACTTTTATGTACATCTATATATTTTTTTTAATTTATTTGATTGCATTTTAGGTTTTGGGGTACATGTGAAGAACATGCAAGATTGTTGCATAGGTACACACGTGGCAGTGTGATTTGCTGCCTTCCTCCCCATCACCTACATCTGGCATCTCTGCCCTTGCTATCTCTCCCCAACTGCCCACCCCCCACCATCCCTCCCCTATTTCCCACCAACAGATCCCAGTGTGCAGTGCTCCCCTCCCTGTGTCCATGTGTTCTCATTGTTCAACACCCACCTATGAGTGAGAACATGTGGTGTTTAATCTTGTGCTCTTTTGTCAGTTTGCTGAGAAGGATGCTTTCCAGGTTCATCCATGTCCCTACAAAGGACACAAACTCATCGTTTTTGATGGCTGCATAATATTCCATGGTGTATATGTGCCACATTTTCCCTGTCCAGTCTATCATC